ACGTTTGGTACTTTAAGTATATTTATTACTAATAATTTTGTATTTTTATTTTGTAACATTTTAAATGCATGACTTTTACTTATAACAGTGTATTTCTGCAATGTGGTATTGCTACTTTTACTTAAATAAAAAAGGACTTCTGTATACTGAGTACTTCTAACACTACTAGCCTCTATATATCTGCAAGAGTTGTGGTAATGGCAGTAACAGTGGAGTAGTAGTAGCCACAGTAGCAAATTAAGTAGTAGATGTAAAAGCAGTAATAGACATAGTAGTATGGCTAGCTACTGTCTATAAGTAGGGGGCGATTAATAACTGAAGTAATTGTATACTATCATAGTGTACAAGACACAGTCTAACTAATGTTGCATAAAATCTACACTATACAAATTTTAAAGTCATTCTAAAATGTAAGTAGAGAGCACATTTCCGCACATAGAGGCTTTAATTTCTTTCGAGTTGGGTCCCCAGTGTACATAATAGTGCCTGTGCCATCCACGTAGTAAGCTGCCAAGTTAAAATAATAAAACACTCACACTTTACATTAGGCATCTTTTAACAAACACGTTCAGTTACATCCTCATCCATCAGGAGTGCTTGTATCTCTGCAAAACGAAAGTTGCAAAAAGCAACAGGTTTTGGCCCAGTGTTTCCAACTTAGCAACTTTCTCATTAAAAAAACAACCTCTCAACAAATCATAGCTCCTCTCCCTTGAAGAGAGATGCCAATAGTCCTCAGTCAATGTGCACTAATGTCGCCATGTGGAGTTCATTGAGCAGAAGAGAACAGCTGCATGTTCAGTCAGCTGCCAGACAGAAATGTGAAGAATCATTGAGTTCCTAACAACCAATTACTAAGCCCCACGGTTTGTCCAGAGAACTCCTTCTATGCTTTTGTTCTAAATGATGTAACTTGACTTTTTTTTCATGCAGAATTTAAAGTAAGTGAGTCAATTCTACAGTCTGTACAACAGCCTTCAAAACAGGTGTTTGAGGTAGATTTAGATGCACATAGCAGCATCTTGAAACAAAATAATAATAGCAAAGACTCAGCTTAGTGGGACCTGATTTTTTCTGCTTTCACTAAAAAAAATAATCTCTGGTATATGTGTATGGCATTTGTTACGTAATGCAGTGCTGCACATATAAATTAACCTGTGACAGCATCTAGCAACAACTTAAGCAGGATTTAGCCATTTTCCATTGAAAATTTTGTTTTGTTTGTTGTTGTTTGTTCTGTTAGTGCATTTGTTGTATTTCTATTGTGTGATATCTTTTTGAATGTTATTTGTGGTTGTTTAGGTATTTTTCTGTTAGATGGTGCAGGGTTGACGGAATGTTTGCTTTGTTGTTAGTTAATGTGTCTGAAGAATCCCATTAGTCCTGTATTTAACTGGACATGAAAAAATAAAATCTTCTTTCATATAATAATATTGCTTGTCATACAGTAGCCATGAATTACACTAATAGTATTGTAGGTTACGCTCAATATCTAAGGTCTGCTGTAGTAGAAACATTAGAAAAGTTTGGAACAGTATTAGTACTTTTAATAGTAGCAGTAATAGTTATATTGTTATTTATACTGTATTTCTGTGATGTGTTGCAGTAGCAGGTAAACTCTGACGCGGTAGGTATCCCTTAGTGTAATTTCTGTCACGCATGGCTCCGCAGTCAAGTTCACAATAATGTATGTACCTGACGTAACTTAAGGACATGAATAAGTATGTCAAAAATATCAACTTACAAATAAATAATTTACTTCTTTTTTCACATGAACAGCAGTCTCGGGGGTAAAAGTCTGGTTGGTTTGAGCCATCCATCCACCCCGCCACCTCCATATGCAGACTTTCTTGCTCTTAATACTACGTCACCTGAGTTCAACGGCGGGCGCGTCCAGAAATGACACCGGAGGGATACCAACAGTGATGTTAGCAGTCATAGCAGTGCTAGTAGCACTTATACTTACTCTCTGTATATCTGAAGTGAGCTGCAGCAGTGTTGGAGAAGCTGTAGCTCTGAGAGTCTCTGTCCCTCTAACTGGAGAGTTCAGACTGACGTAGGCCACTGCACTGTTCTTTAGGACTACACTGTTATCCTAAAGGAACACACACACACACACACACACAGAGAGGCTAACATCATTTCACTCCCAATAATAATCTATCATTTTTGCCATCACACTGGTCATGTTATCATTATCATCATGATCTCAAGTCCAACTAAAGTGTCCTTGCCAGCTCTACAGATCACATTATTGTCCTGTCGTTCTTTGTCTTATGCTGTTGCTTGGAATTTCATGTCATTTCAAACCATCAGATTAAAACCTAAATTGCATTCTAATTTAAAAACATGTTTTCGTTGTAAACTATGCATTTTTATCATTGGCATCAGAACTGTAGGGTTATATGGGAATCAGAATAATGAATCATAAATGAGATCTACTCAATCCAAACAATATGTTCTGATTGCAACCCTATCTTGAACTGAGAATACAGTCGTTTAGATTGGCTCTCCTCTTTATTCTTGTAATTAATTGTGGCCATTTTAAAATATATACAAGGTGCAGTCACATTCCAACTAGGAATCATGTATCAGTACACTATCATCTTCTTGTTTAGTGTTTTAGCTGTTAGCTGCTAACATGCTCCAGCTCTGAAGAGATGAAAAGGTTGCTCTATATGTATGGAGATCCCTATACACTATGTGCTGTATTCCAATATAGTATGCCAGTACCCATTTTCATTTATTGTGTTTTTACATCTGCCTCAGTTCAAATCATTCCAGAAGCCACAACCTTTTTAGCCCTAAGCTGACATTTAATAAAGCAGATGCTCTTGTGCTTGCTGACCTTTCCCCACTCATAGGACCCGATGTTCCCCAGGGCTGAGCCTCCCCACGAGCAAAACACAGTAGTACGGTCGGGCACCCATCCTCGCTTGGTCTGCTCTGTCAGTGCAGCGATGAGCTGATTCATAATAGCTGAAGCCCCTCCTCCCTGGTCGCTGTCATGACGACTGCCAACCAGCACGTAGCGATCTGAAAACAAATAAAAAAGTGAAGGTTCATTTGTGCATTTATTTATTTGCTTGTAGCTGAATATTGCCACTGTGCCATATGTATTATATATTTTACTTGTGTCCACATTTAATAAATCAAGAGACAAAAGCTTAACGTATCGCTAAGCAGTTTCTAGTTCTCGTCAAGGCAAAACATAGTGCTGCTGTCTCATGTAAAGAGCAGTAGATGATGTGAAGTTAACAGAGCCCCACAGTGGTCTTAGAGGGGGAAAAACCCCTATAATGAGTCCAAATTTTGCAAAGCACGAGATATAGTTTGCTTCCACATTCTTATTAAATCGTAATACATAATATGTGACATTTTGAATAATTTGTGGCCACAAGATAGAATTTGATCCCACGTGCGCTTAAGATAATTACCGACCAGTGGTTGTAAACTTTTTTCCTAAATTCAACTTTTGGTAAGAGAACCTGGGCTTATGACACTTCAAAGTGGGTTTACCAGATGTGGAACAAACTTATAGCAATCTTTTCTATGTTGATTTTTTTTTTTTAAAAGCTGAAGGCAAACAGAATTCTCATGAAAGCCAAATAGAAACATTTCTTGTTTTTGTGTTTAATAAATACATGTACACAATACTTTACCTAGCAATGGATGTGGATGATTTCATCATCAGTCACTACTATTAGTGTAGTTGTTGCTACTGTTGTTGCTGTGCACCTGTCTGTCTGTCTCTCTCTCTCTCTCTCTCTCTCTCTCTCTCTCTCTCTCTCTCACCCCAACT